CGGCCCAGTGAGCCCGCCCGAATGCCATCCGAAAGGCAGGGAGCGAGGAAGAAGAAGGGAGACAGGGCCGCCCCCGCCCGGGGCTCGCGGCGGCCCGTCCCCCCCCCCCCCCCCCCCCCCCCGCCGGAAGGCACGCACGCAGGGGGCCATGATCGACTGCCAAGCCGCTTCGGTGGCGTGGCCCCCCCGTTCCGATCGGCGCTTGATTGGGCGCAGGAAGGCAAATCCGGAGGACACCCCCAGGCAAGCATAGGCAAACACACAGACACAGACAACGGACACGCGAGGATGGATGGGAAGTGCGCAGGTGGACATTTGGATGTGACTATTTTTTCTGGATGTGAACTGCAATTAGGGGGGGGGAAGGAAAGGGGGGAAGGGGGGGGGGAGGAGTGCGGAGAAAGGGCAAAGAACATAAAGAGGCATACACCCCCACCACATCGGCGGAGGAGCGGGGGATGGGGGGAAACACGACAGCAGGCGTGGCGCGGTACGCGTGCGAACCGATACACCGAGATGGGGGGGAGGGGGGAGACAGCGCTATCGGGCACAAACCGGTGCGCGCGCACACAGGCGACACAGGAGGGGAGGGAAGAGGGGAGAGGGGGCGGGACAGGCGCGCGCGCACGGACGCGGCACAACAGCCACTGCCAGCAGTAGTGACACTACCACATTCCGGCGCACACTGCTCACGCACGACGCTCTCGCCTCCTCCCCCTCCGCCCAGACCCGTCCAGGGGAACCACCCCAGAAGAGCGGCAACCTGACGCTGCGTGTGACACGATGCGTGTGTGAGAAGAAGAGAGAGGAGGAGAGAGGGGGAGAGAAAGGGAGGGGGGGAGAGCGGCGCATGTATGCGCACAATCACACGTGCGCACAAAAAAGGGCACGCGAGAGGTCTCATGCGCCTTCCACAGCCTCGGACCCCCCTCGTGCTGCCGCCTCACGCCACCGCATGGGACACGCACTGGCACAAGCCACGGCAGCAGAGCACACCGGAGATCCCCGCCCCCCCGTCGCCGCCTCCCCCCACCACGAGGGACATCGGCCGACGGCCAGAGAGCAGAGGGGAAGGAGAGGCGCATGCAGCATTTAGAACTGGCGGAAGGAGCGAACACCGCCGCCGACAGCGGCGGCCGGGCGCTTGTCGGCCACGACCTCGGGCTTGGCGCGGTTGAGGACCTGCAGGAAGGCAGTGACGCGGGCACGCATGCGCGAGTGCTGCGTGTGCTCTTCCGATCTGGAGCGAACACCGCCGCCGACAGCGGCGGCCGGGCGCTTGTCGGCCACGACCTCGGGCTTGGCGCGGTTGAGGACCTGCAGGAAGGCAGTGACGCGGGCACGCATGCGCGAGTGCTGCGAGAAGAGGACGCGCGGCCGGCCGGCCGGCCGGACATGGGGCACACACCACACCCAGGCGCCAGGGAGAAGAAGGCAGGTGTCAGAGGAGGACAGAGAATGGACCAGGCGCGCCGGCAGGGGGCAGAGCAATCGGCAGAGCGCGGCAGAGCGCGGCAGCGAGAAAGACACGCACCATGTAGGCCTTGGAGCACTTGATGTGGTAGTGCAGGTAGTCGCGGAAGGTCTGGATGAGATCGGAAGAGCGTCGTGCGCGGCAGAGCGCGGCAGCGAGAAAGACACGCACCATGTAGGCCTTGGAGCACTTGATGTGGTAGTGCAGGTAGTCGCGGAAGGTCTGGATGAGGGAGATGGTGTTCTGGCGCTTGACGGCGTCGTAGTGGCGAGGGAACAGGACGAAGGTGACGTAGCCGATGCTCTTCTTCTTCTCCTTGTCGGTGACGATGCCCTTGACGCCGGTCAGCTCGGCCGGGGCATCCTCGGGGTAGAAAATGACCTGGGGCGAGTTCTGGAGGTTGGTCTGACGGCGGGCGTCGACGAACTCCTGGAGGAAGACCTTGCCGAAGACAATGTCAGCCGGGTCCTTGAAGGTGACCGAGAAGATGACGGTGACGCGATCCTTGTCGGTCTTGATCCAGATGGACTCCTCTGCGAAGGGAGGGCGAGGGACACGGGGAGGGGGGAAGGGGAGCGAGAACGGAGGGTCAGAAATGGAGATGTGCCAGGGGGGGGCAGGAGGGGGGAGGGGGCATACCGTTACGGTAGGAGATCTGCATCAGGGGCAGGGTGTCGCCCTTGAGCTGGGCATCGAAGGCACGCTCGAAGGGGACGGCCAGAGCATGGCGCTTCAGGAGGCTCAGGTTCTCGATGAGCTCGTCTGGGCGGAGGGGGGGGGGAAGGAGGTGCGGCCAAAGTCCAAGCGCGCAGCCGGGCAGCCAGGGGGTCAGTATCACCAAGGCCAAGCGGGGCACATGCGCGCATGCGGGGCGGGGCGGGGCGAGGCGAGGCAGGAAGGGAGGGTTCCAGGGGAGGGGGAGGGAGAGGGGGGACATACCGCGCTCGGTCTCGGAGGCCGGGAGCTGGGACATGTTGAAGGCCAGGGTGAAGTCGTAACCCGGGCGGGGGGAGGACACGAGCGGGCCGTAGATCTTCTCGAGGTGGGAGACGGCATTGTAGGAAGCCAGCTCGGAGAAGCAGCGCCAAGAGATGGACAGGTAGACGACGTTGCGGTCGGTGTTCTCGGTGGCCAGGTTGAACTGGACGCCATCGAAGTCGGCGAAGTTGTGCGACAGGGAGGAAGGCTTGGCCCTGGGCGGAGGGGGGGGGCGGGGCGCGTGTGAGTCGGCGCGTAGAGCCAGCGGGTGCGGTGGCATTGGCGCGGGGCGTGGGAGGGAGAGAGGGGGGAGGGGGAGACGCACGGGTCGTGGTTGGCGAAGTGCTCCTTCAGGATGGTCTTGAGGACAAGGTTACCGTACTCGAGGAGGATCATGGTGGCGGTGGAGGTCTGAGCGCGGCGAAGGAAGGAGGAGAGCGAGTCAGAATCATATACCAGTGGGGGGGAACCGGCCCCAGGGAGAGACAGAAAGAGAGAAGGAGAGAGAGAGAGAGAGAGAGAAGGAGAGAGAGAGAGAGAAGGAGAGAGAGAGAGAGAGAGAAGGAGAGAGAGAGAAGGAGAGAAGGAGAGAACGAGAGAACGAGAGAAGGAGAGAAGGAGAGAAGGAGAGAAGGAGAGAACGAGAGAACGAGAGAAGGAGAGAACGAGAGAAGGAGAGAACGAGAGAAGGAGAGAAGGAGGAAGCAGGGGGGCGAGGCGCACAAGGGGGAAGGAGGAAAAAACCGAACGGTGAGGAAAAGCACCAAGGTGTGATGAGCCCCTCAGGTGGGCGGGGGAGGCGCCAGGGTGCCCAATCATCAGTGTGTGCGTATGTCTGTGGGCATGCTCCGATTTGCGCGCGCGGCGGGGGCAGAGGGGACCAATGGTGGCAGAAGCCGGCCCGCCCCACCAACAGCCGGCAGCGGCCCTGCAAGCGCCGTGCCCCCTTCCCCACCAACCACAGCCAGCGTGCACTCTTCCCCGGCCGGCTCTCGTGCCGCGCCCTCAGACGCACATACACACACAGGCACACATATACCCTCTGCGAGCGCGATGCGAAAACGGTCAGACCCCCGTGCGCAGCGGCAGTGCGCTCGCCGTCCACGAACACGCACACACACACATACATAGAGAGAGAGACAGACACACTTGCACGCACCTCGGCCGCAATGGGCGCCGTTGAATGTTCCCACTCGGCCTGCTCGCGCATTTGGGGCGTCTCCTGGCTCCTTCCGGCACCCGCCGGGGGGGGGGGGAGGGGCGGCGTTCCCCCGGCCGGCTCGCGGCCAGGCAGACGCCGGCAGGGGCACAGAGGAGGGGGAAACGAAAACAATGAAGGTTCCCGGGGGGGGGGGGGGGGGGGGGGGGGGGGCACACCCGAGGCGGGGGAGGGCTCCCCCGGGATGACCCGCCCGGGGCATGTTCTGGCAGCCGCAGGCCCTGACCCCGGTGTGTGTGTGCGTGTGTGTGTTGGCCAACACACGCCGCCGAGACCAAGGAGCGGGAAAGGCCCGCTCCCACTTCTCCGGGGGGGGGGGCAGCCGCCCCGGCCCCGGTGGTCGAGCCAACAAAGGCGGGATGCGCGCTCGGCCTGGAAATTGCCCTTTCAATAATCTGGCTATAAAAATGTCGAGCGATTTGCAGACCCTTCTGTGTGTCCCCCCCCCCCCGCCCCTCGTACACTCTAGTTGGTGCGGCTTTGTGCCTGGGCCCTCAGGTACCAAGAGACTAGGTCCGCACATACCCGGCCACCGTCGAAAACAACAACTGCCCAGGGGATGCCCGCCCCCCCTCCCCTCCCTTCCGGCGCGTATGCATTACCGGCCCCTCCCTCCGCGGGGCCAAGCAGCGGGCATGGTCTCGGGGCGTTGTTCCCGGGCGTTGTCGCGAGGGGTGCCCGAGAGACGGGGAGAACTCCCCCGGCAGCCGGGCAGACACGGCGTCCTGCCGGGAGGAGGACCTCCAAGCCCCACCCCGGCGCACACGGACTCACACTTGCGAATGGACAAGCAGCCCGGAGGCGTGCAGGCGCGCCGGCAACCAATCGGAGGGAATGTCAAGAATGCGCTCCCCTCCCGGCCCCCCAGGCAGGGCGATATTGAATAGTTCCCCTTGGTGTGTGGGTGTGGGGGGGGGTGTTCGTGAGGCGAGCGATGGGCCTCCTCGGAAACGCCATTGCCACATCACACGATCTCATCACACCACCGGGGCGCGGAGCTCGATCGCCGCGGGAGTACCCCGTCTCCCAGCCCCCGCGTCCCCTGGAGTTCGCAGGACGGCGGGGGGGGGGGGCATTCCCGCTCCTTCTCCGGCGATTGGGGCCCCTTGGCGTCCGAAGCTCTCGCGCCGGGGCTGGGCGTCCTCCCCGCCCCCCCCCCCCCCGGGAGACTTCACCCCTGGCGAGGGCGGGCGGCGGAGAAGCCAGCTTCGGCGGCGGCGGCGGCGGCGGCGGGGGGACGGCAGGCTGGCACGGGGCGGTCGGGGTCATGTTGGGGATGGCGGCAGGCACAGCCAAAGGGCGCCCGGCACCTCTCTCAGCGGGGTGCACCGGCGTGCGTGTTGTTTTTGTTGTTGTTTTCCCCCCTGGTTCCCCCTCATACTCGGGGGAGCGCCGCAACCGGTGGCTTGACCCTGAGCTGTGCGGCTGGAGGCTTGGGTTCGTGGAGAACCTCCCCCCCCCTGAGGTCGCCCTTTTGCCCCTGTCTCCGGAAGAAAACACCAGGCTGCACAGCTCCCCCTCCCGGCACAGATCCCGCTACACACCCCTTCTCCTCCCGGTTCTGCCGCCCTCGCCTCCCTGCAGCCTCCCCCGCCCGCCCAGACACCCCCGCTCCTGTTTCTCCCCCTCTCGCCCCCTCCTCCCCCCATCTCCGCCATGTCTTTCACCACCACGCTGGTGAAGCACATCGTGCCGAACCCGCCGAACACGCTCGATGCGGCTGCCATCCAGACTCAGCCCCCCTCGAATGTGCTCGCGGCCGTCGCGTCCAAGCAGTTTGTTGATGGTGCGTGCGCCGGCACACGCCAGCCCTGCTCCATTTCGTTGAGCTCCCCCCCTCCCCCGCTAACGTGCCTGGCCTCTGCCATCCGATGCTTCAGCCATCTCCCGCCTCAGCAACCTCTCCAAGTATGTTGTCAACGTTTTCTCTGGTGCGTTTCCGACTCTCTCTCCCTCTCTCTTTTTATGTATCTCATTCCCTACCATCTCTCTCTCTCTCTCTCATTGACCCGTCTTGCACCACAACCATGACCCCCTGTCGGCCGCCCCACCTTTTCTCCTCTCGAATGGCCCCCGCTCAGAGCTTGGCCAGCTCGCCGATCAGACAAGTGATCGTGTGAACTCGCTACACACTCGTGTGGACAACATCAGCAGCGAGCTTTCCACGGTATCAACTCGAATCAATGCCAACCTCATCTCCAACACCTGCCAGGTGGAGCGTATGTCCCCAACTTCGCTGCCCTCACGATCTCAGCTCCGCGTCGTCCTCTCTCTCTCTCTCTCTCTCTCTCTCTCTCTCTCTCTCTCTCTCTCTCTCTCCCTCCCTCCCTCTCTCTCTCTCTCCCTCCCTCCCTCCCTC